AATATAAAGAATTCTATTTATTAGGCAATTTATATATCGAATATCACATTTTTATATATAGATATATCGAGGTTTAGAACATATTAAATTTATGACCCAATTTATAATTCGAGGTTTTAAATCTATATATATATATTAAATATTTAAAATATGATTATTATGATTATGATTTTTAATATTAAATTTGAATTTCGATAATTATAAAATGTTGCATTTGCCACCAATCAAATCTATATTTCCTGGTTTAAAAGGATTTGCAATTACTTGTGTTTACTCCGGAATCTGCATTTCGATATTCATAAAATATTGCACCTGACAAAATATACTTATACCTGGAACTTCGTTACGGCAATAATAATTGCCGTTTTCATGAAACGTCGCCTTTTTCCGTTCTGCGGCGTTCTTCCATATTGATCTCATGGGGATGGCGTTTCTTGATGAACTGCGGCAGTTTCGGTCAGTTGAGGGCAATTTTGGTCCACACATCCATGCGCCTCAAAGAGTCATTTCGTTTTAGTTTTGGTGCAGGCGAGTATGAAAACATTGTAAGGTCTTGCTTGAAAGGCAACTGAACGTAAAAGGCGTCTTATTATATCAGCAAACTCGCATAGTCATGTGAAGTGGAAAGGGCAGCTGATGGAAGTGTCACATGCTGGGTTTTCGTCGGTTTTCGCGGGTAACTCGACCTCTTGCGCGGCGTTGCAGAAGATTTTGCGTTTAAAATTGCGGCGTTCTTACCCGTACTTGCGGCGTTTTTCCCCGTACTTACGGCGTTTTCCCCCTACTTACGGCGTCGTTCCCTTACCCTGTCTAGGGTCACTCAAGGTGGCAGCAAGACTTGTCACAACATGTCACAAGGGATCCTTTCAGCCATTGCATGATCAAAATGTGAACAAATCCTGCCGTGATGTCAATCGAGACCTTAAACAAGGGCTGCAACATCTTGAGAAGTGCTACTATGAGGCTTGAAAACGATGAACTCTACTTACAAGTGGAAAAGGAGAAGGCAATTTCAGGGTATGGACAGACCAAAACAATATCCTCTTTGGTAGATCAAACAAAACGGTGATTCTTCTTTTGTGACGGCGTTTTCACTTCTCTGACGGCGTTTTCACTTTCCAGGGATTGAGCTACGGCAGAAAAAATGAGTTACGGCAAAAATTATTGCCTCAACAGCCTACGGCAAAAATTATTGCCTCGGGAGGGTCTAGGTATATCGAGGTTCCTAAACTCTTGTATTTACCACGAATCTTCATGTCGAGATTTATAAAAATATTACGTCTGCCACGAAGTCTGTACTTCGAAATATAATCGTTTCGATTTAATTTGTTGTGCCTGACACGAAAAATCAAATGTAGATCCCCAAAACACGACGTTCCTCTCCGCCTACCATGAAAAATGATCACCGTGTCCGAAAATGTGGTCGGCACGCAATCGCGACAAGCACCCGCCGCGTCGATTCAAATTTTGCGAGCCTACACAGGCAAAATTTATATAGATGATTTCGAAAAATATATATGCATTATATCCATCACTAAATTCATTGGTTATGACCATAAATATTTAAATACTATCTTCTTATATTTACCGTAGGAATGCCTAAATATATACATATTATTTAGACACAATATTAAAATTATATATCGTATATAACAATATTAAAATAAATTAATCATTAATATATATATAATTATTATTAATAGATAATATATATACAATTAAGATATCCGAATCATATTAAATATATGAATAACGGACAAAATTATTTATGTAGTCAAATACCATTTGACATGATTATCGTTTTTGATGGGACCCATATCGTTCTCCAATATTCCTCCAAATCGTAATTAATATAATATATCGGCACATAGACTAAAATACAACATCCACTCACAACCTCAGATTAGAGACTTACAATGCTTTCTGCACAAGAACGATACAACATTTGATTTATGTATTGTATTTGGGTTCTTGTGGCATTGCGTCACACAAGGATCATTGCCCATAAATGGGGACTTAGTAGTTCGGCCCATGAACAAACACTAATAATGTGGAGAAATAGGTTTACGGAGTGCCTGGCGTGACATAGGTTATCGTTCGTTTATCATTTAAGAAATTGTCTAGGATTATCGTAAATGAAAAATTGTGTCCATCGGTTTAGCTCACATAAATATATAAATGCAATATCATATTATAATCCCAAATATCTTTATATTCATTACATTTAAATAAAGCTAGAATTTTCTGGGGGACCATATCGGTTTCCACAGAAACAAAACCCCCAACAAAAATTTAGGGTCATACCGTAACTAAATAAATCAACCAATAATATTATCCGTCATTCATATATAATAATCAATATATTTTACATAATCATTTAATACATATATCCTACAATTTAACTATATTCAATTATACTTTAAAAATTTATTGTAATATAATATCAATATATAATTACCTTTATTTAATAAATGATCAAAATATATTTTTGATTATAATTATAATAAATAATTTAATAAAGACCCATTTCTCATTCAATATATATAACAAACATCTAAAATATATAGAAATAGAAATTAATATAATCAAACCATATAATTAATACGACAATTATTTTAATTCGTTAATAACCTTTTATTTTAAACTATAATCATCCTGGAATAGATAGAATCCGGAATTAAACATGATAATTTTTGTTGAGAAAATTTGTGGTTTTCGACACGAAGACTAAAAATTAAAGATCGATCCATAAATAGAATATTAGGCTTATATATATCTACTCCAGGATCTTATCAATTTATATCTATAATTGGTATCGTCTTTTCCCTTCTTCCATATTCTTTTCCATTTACCTTTTCCTATTTCTTATTCCATTTCCATCTCCAATTCCTTTTCTTCCTCTTCCTATTCCTTTTCCTCTTTCCATCCTTACCCTTTTCCTACTCGTCTTCTGGCCTTTCTCTCGATTATCTTCTCTCTTTTCGTATTTTTTTTCTCTCTCTCTCTCTATTATCAGGTCAATTGTTGTCTGTCCCTAGATCCTTTTTTTGGTGGCATCAATTTCCTGTTTTTGCATGGCACTAGTTGCATCTCTATTGTATGTTTGTTCCCCTAGATCCTTTCTTTCATAGCATCAATTTCCTGTTTTTGTATGGCACTAGCTGCATCTCTATTGTATGTGTGTTTCCCTTTCTTGTATTATTTAATTATTTTCCTATATTATAAAATATTTTGTTTATGTATTTGTTCTTTGCATTTATCGCCAACAATAATTTGCCTCATTTCCCTATATTCAATAAATTAAGACCATCAATCCTCCCCTAAATATTGTTTTTTTTTCTATTTCCTTGCTAATTAATAATTATTCTATCTATATATTTATTCTTAACAAGAATTAAAAAAAAAATAAATATAAAATAATCGACAATTTCCTCGAAAAAAAAAAAAAAACGAATACACATAATATGCATTCGATGATTAATTAAACAAACAATTTTAAATATATTTTTTTGGGATCAAATCCATATTTCGTTCTTTATTTAATTATTATTTAATACAATATATTCTATCTATTCCAAAATAAAATATAAAACACATATAATATTAATAATATATTTATAATTCGAAAAATTAATTATATTTTACATCTATACGATTTCAAATTAATATTTTTAAATTTTCTTCAATATAATATATTCTATATATTATAAGCAATCCCCAACCTAATCTAAATCAATTATATTATTCCCTGACAATATATATAAAACTTCATAAATATAATCAAATAATTTATATTAATTCCAAATACATCGAAAACATTCAAATAAAAATCAAATCGCAAACCTAGCATCAATCTATCATTGCCTTAGTAATATACATAATTCTACTAAGGGTCCGTTATTAAATTAATATTTAAAATCACCATCCTAATCATTTTCCATTCCACCTTTCAAAACATCTTACTATAAATTGTTGACCGCTACTCATGTTTATATTTATATATTTATTATTCCATTTTGCATTGTCCGAATATTATCTGGCATTTAAGAGATTTGGCGCAACCGCTCAGCGGAAGTGCCCTGCTAGGACATGCGATCAAACAGTGCAGGAAGCTGTGGATTGGAGCGGACTCAAGGGATCCAAAAGCCGCTGCTTTCCTTCGAATAAGGGTCAAAAACCCGTACCCGAAGACAGCAAAATCAACAACACCTTGACAGACCTAGTTGACGAAAGGATTTTCTGTGCTAACTTCCAGCGCTTGGGATGAGGAGTATTCTGCTGCTTTTGGATGCTTGATAACTAATATCATTTGAATGACATCCTGGGCATGTCAAACAGAAAGCCTTCAGGCAAATCTTGAAGGGCAAACTCCACTTCAACGAACAATGCTCTGAGGCTCCGAATTTGCTGAAAGAGCTGTGGCTGATGGTTGCACCCTTGGTTCAGAAAACCTAAATGTAAGATGATGTAACAGGTAGTTTTCGGCAGTTGTTTGGACGAATGAACAGTTCTTTCTATTGCTTTTGGTAAGCTTTTTTGGGCAACCTCTTTTCTGAATCATGCTCCAAAATGACGTGCTATAGTGAACAAAGGCCTTCCATCAAGAGTACAGGTGTCATGTAATTTCGATATCCCACAAACACCCGGTGTTTACACCGTATCCTGGAAGACTTGGTCTGATGCCCGTCTGTCATCTAAAATCTAATGCACACCTTTTTGATAAACTTGGGTGTGCGGGGATCTGCATACTTCCTCAGCCAAACGTCGCGCAAATTCAGAGTGGAGCAAACCAGGTTAAACCACTTCTCGTTGCACTCAAAAAAGCTCAGGCAACGGAAGAGATTGGAAAGAACTCGAAAGATGTGGTCAACTTCAGCAGGTGAGCAGTCGAACTCGCAGGTTATGTTTTTTGCAGTGAAAAACGTGCCTATTCTGAAAATGCCTAAAAATAGATGCCTTTGATTTGTGAACGATGAAGCGTTGCTACACCAAAAAAGAGTCCAAGCAACATGCGGCAACAAATGCCATCGAACAATTTCATCTTCAAGCCCACATAACCTGCAATTCTTCCGACTGCTTCATAAGTAAACCTTTGTGCATTGTGGTGTCAGATCAAAGTCTGTTCACTCAACGTGCACTTTCTACAGAACACTCAAGTCGACCATAAAATGGAAACATATGTTGAAAGTTGCTTTCAGACTTCTGAAATGAACGTCCTTGCCAAGTTCATCTGAAAGCAATAAGCTTGTATCGGCTCACCGATCATTTGGATTTCAAATGAGGCTCACCCTTCATTTTGTTTTGGCAGAATGTGCAGGTTCTATCTTCGACCTGCAGAGCCAAAACTGAGGGGAAAAACGATCACTCAGTATGAATGATCTGTAATTGACCAAGGCTTTCTTTTGCTACCTCTGGCTCCATGTGTCTTCTCACCACGCAATCTGATCGCAGGCGCCACCAAATCACAATGTAAACGTCAGCACCAATGGGGCACCAAAGCCACCCAAGAGACCAGGGCCCTCAGGGTCACCTGCAAATCGAGATCGGACAACAAATCAAAGAACCGAAAAGAAGCCAAGCTCGGAGCGTCAACAAGGTTTGGTTTGTTTGAGTAATACTGCCCTCGGCAGAGTAATGTTGAATCCAAATTAGTAAAATGGGACGGAATAGTAAATAGTTTTCGCCAAATTCTTCACACACCCTGATTAGTCTAATGGGTCGGAATAGTAACAAGTTTTTCACCCAGTGTTTGTTTTGAGATTTGTTAGTTTTTCTATTATTCTGCTATTGCTCACCCTTTAACATCCTTACTTAACTCTCCTGAGGTTTGCTTGATTCATGGAATTCTGACCTGAAAGTCGTTTTCAAAAACGCATATTAAAACTCAACGATTTCATTGCTCCAAACAATTTTTCAAGGGTGTAGT